TTATGTGCCGTCGAGTCATTTGCGACTCATAGCGACCCTATGTACAACAGCCCTTAACCCTGCTCTATACGGTGCCAATCACACTGCCTCTGACACACCCATCCCGATTACCCCAGTCACTGAATCAATCCACCTCATAGAGGGCCTTTCCCTCCTGAGCTGTCCCTCCACTCTCTCAAGCATGATGTCCCTCTCCAAGGACCTGTCCCTCCTTACAACATGTCCAAAGTATGTCAGACGAAGCCCCAGAATCCTTGCCTCCAAGGAGTAGCCCAGTTTAACCCTCTCCAGGATGAATCTGTTTGTTTTCTTGGCAGTCCATGGTACATTCAATACTCTTCTCCAGCACCACAGCTGAAAGGCATCAATTCTCCTTCTGTCCTCCCGAGTCGTTGTCCAACTCTCTGATGCATAACAAATAATTGCAAAGACCATGGCCTGTATCAGACACACTTTAGTCTCCAGAGAGACACCGTTGCTCTTGAGTGCTTTAAAGAAGTCCCTAACAGCAGATTTTCCCACCGCAATGCTTTTTTTTTAAATTTCCTGGCTGCTGGTGCCAAGAGTGTTGATCATGGAGCCTAGAAACTGAAGGTGGAACAATCTCAATCTCTTTGCCATCCATCCTGATGTTGCCAGTTGGTCCAGTGGTGAGAATCTGTCTTCTTGATATTGAGCCTCAGTCCATACTGAAGGCTGCAGTCCTTGATCCTCTGCAGCAAGTGCATGAGGTCCTCCTCAGTTTCAGCAAACAGGGTTGTGTCATCGCATAATGCAGATTGTTAATAGAGCTTCCACCAGTCCTGATGCCACACGTCTCCTCATAGAGCCCAGCCTCTCGGATAATCTGCTCTGCATACAGGTTGAAAAGGTATGGAGAAAGGACACATCCCTGGCGTACACCCTACCCAATTTTGAACCATTCAGTGTTACCCTACTCTGTTCTGACGACTGCTTCTTGGTCCAAGTATAGGTTTCAATTAGCATGACTAAATGTTCTGGGATTCCCATTCTTCTCAGAGTCAGCCACAGTATATTATGATCCAAACAGTCAAAAGCACCAGAGGTGCAGCTTTTAGGTCAAGTGGCACAATTCCCTATGACCTATACCTCCATATCTCCCTTATCCTAAAACTGCACACTCCCAAATGTTCTCTCTCATAGTTACAGCCAGTGGGCAGAAAGTAAGGTGAATGTAGCCAATAAACTCCAAGAGTGATGTTGTTGTTGTTTACCATCAATTCAGAACCAACCCATAGCTCACCCTCCTGCACGTTTTCAGAGGTAATTAATCACACAGGAGAAGACTCCTCATCCTTCTCCTGTGGATTCAAACTGTGTGCCTTTGGGATTACAGCATAGCTTCTTACCACTAAGCCACCAAAGCTCTCAATAGGCAGAAAGTAAGGTAGACATAGTCAATGGACTACAAGAGTTATAGGAGATAAAAACGTGAACAAAAGAAAATCTCCTCAGAAAAGTATGTGTGGAAGCTGTCTACTGGTTAAATTAAAAAGATTATTCACTTCAGTCTAGAGACTAAGGTGCATTTGATACTGGCCATGGTCTTCACAATTACTTGCTATGCTTCAGAGCGCTGGAAGATGATTAAGGATGATAAAAGAAGAATCACTGCCTTTAAGTTGTGGTGCTGGAGAAGTGTGCTGAACTTACTGTGGACTGCAAGGAGAATAAACAGATTTTTCCCGGAGTGGATGAAACTGAGTCAAGGATTTTTAAACTCATACTTCAGGCACATGGCCAGGAGGTACCAGTCCTTGGAGAAGGACATCATGCTTGGATGCGTGGAGGGACAGTACAGGAGAGGAAGATCCAAGATGAGATAGATTGACACAGTGACTAGAAAAATGGGATTAGGTCTTTCAGGGATGATGAGATTGGCTCATGAGAGGCCAGGGTTCAGAACTATTGTAAATAGGTTCATTAGAAGTCACAGGCAACCTGATGGCACATAACAGCAGCAACAACAACAGGCTTATTTATGAGGAGCCTTCAGATAAACCAAGAGGCAGCCATTTGAGTAGAACAAGGAGTACTGTATGACTTAAAAATCAGGAAAGGTATGTGTTTCAGGTTTGTATTCTTTCACCACACCTATTCAATCTGTTTGTAAAGCAAATAACCCAAGAAGCTTAACTACATATTTTAAGGCACATAGCAGCACATAATATAGAGAGAGCGACGTTGGCCTAGTGGACAGAAAGTTATGCTACCAAGCCCAAGGTGGGTGAGTTTAATCTGTGGCCCTTAGACCTGGTTTAAATTGTTTTTCTGTCAAACATTCTTCTAGGTGGTATAGCACTGGTCTGTGCATTGCTGTAAAGAGGTAACTCATGGTTGCTGTGGTACTAAACACTGTGAACACTGATGTGCCAAATGTGATAATGGTTACCCATGGTGGACAGTGTTTGTTGGAGCTTCCCAATTAAAAAAGCCTGGAAGCAGGAGTGGCATCCACTTCTGAAATGACTTGCCTCTGGAAACTATGGACAGTGCTCAGGTCTTCCGTTCATAGGGTCGCTATGAGTCGTCTATAACTCAACGGCACTTAACAACAACACAGTACAAGGACTGGAGGAAGAACTATTAACAATCTGTGATATGCAGATAACACAAGTTTGTTTGCCAATTGTGAAGATCAAAGACTTAAATAAAGATTACACCTTTTAAAATTAAGATGTTTATTATTATTACTATTAATTTTTAGTGGAAGTTTACAGACACTTTGAATTTCCATTCATTCATTGTTGCACTTTCCTCTCTGCCCACCCCTCCACCCCACTTCGCTCTTCTCTTTGAAAACTAAAAGAAAAATTCTTTCATTTTTATACAATCCCTCCCCTCAAGTCCATTCCACTATGCAGCCTTCATTCTGGACCACTTTCATGACAATACCTAATCACAGATCCCTTTTAAACAGTTCTGTCCCTTATCTGTTTCTATGCAGTATACATAGTTTATTCCATCTTTTTCAGTCTCCCCCCAAACCCAATGTCAGTCCCATTTTACAGCAGTGGCACTGTGCAGTATTTGTCCTTTGTGACTGAGACATTTCACTTGGCATAATATCCTCCAGGTTCACCCATTTTGTGTAATATTTCATGAATTCCTTGTTTTTCAATGTAGCATAGTATCCATTGTGTGAATATACCAGAGCTTCTCTATCCATTCGTATGTTGATGGGCACTTGGGTTGTTTCCAAATCTTTGCTATTGTGAACAAAGCTGCAATAAACATGGGTGTGCAAATATCTACTTGGGTGGCATTTATGGTTTCTTTGGGGTATATTCCCAGTAGTGGAATTGCTGGGTCAAATGGTATTTCTATTTGTAACTTTTTGAGAAAATGCCATACAGCCTTCCGTAGTGGTTGTACCATTTTACACTTCCACCAACAGTGAATAAGGGTTCCAGTTTCTCCACAACCTCTCCAGCATTTACTGTTTACTGCTCTGTTAAATTTTGCCATTGTTACTGGTGTGAGACCGTATCTCATAGTTGTTTTTGGATTATACCTTAACATCAGGAAAACAGAGTAACATCATCATTAATGGAGAAAATATGTCAAGAATTTAATTTTATTTGGATCCATAATCAACACCTACAGAAGCAGCAGCAAAGAAATCAATGACAAATTACAGCAGGTAAATGTGAAACAAAGGACTTCTTCAAAGAATTACAAAGCCAAGATGTCAAGACTAAGATGTGGCTGATCATTCTATGGTATTTTCAACCACCTCACATGTGCGTGATAGCTAGACAGTGAATACAGAAAACCAATTAGTAACTGATTGATTTGAATAATGGTTTTGCCAAAAGAATATTGAATAGACCATGACCTATCAGAAAGACATATAAATCTGTCTTGGATGAAGTGAGGATAGAATGTTCATTAGAAACAAGGACAGTAAAGCTTTGTCTCATTCATCTTAGATATGTTGTTAGGAGACATATTCTACAATTCCTGGAGAATAACATCATATTTTTAAAAGTGGGCTATAAATGAAAAAGAAGATGACCTTAATTCATTAAGATGGATTGATATAATGGTTAAAATAGTAGGCTTAAGCATAGCAACTATCTCAGATTTTGTTACAGATAGTAGGGTCACTATGAGCTTCTGCAATAATAACACTCCTGAGAAACTACAGAAAATTATTTTATTAAGAAACATATGGTGTCAATTACAAAGCAACATGTACAGTTTAAAAAGTGTTCATGAAATAAATTAAAAGTATATTCCATAAATTAAAAAAATATATTATATTTTAGCTATAACAAAAATACTTTCTCATGCTTTACTTGCACATACCACTCCTATGTATTAGACACAAACTAAAATTTGGCTTAGAATATTTTCTTTGAGAATTCTCTTAAATTAGTTCATTATATTGAAAACTATTTGTATTCTCTCTTTTGCTTTCATTTGTTTTTTTGTAAATGAGAACACAAGAGGTATCATTACATGGGAGAAATATTGGTCTCTTAAACAGATGGAGGCTTAGTGTTAACCTTTTTCCTTTTATCAACGGAGATTTTTCTTACTACACTTTTTTTTTCCTTTTAAATTTTTCTTACCAAACTTCTCAACTTTTCTTCCAAGTAAGGCTTCCAAGGTTTTTGAAGAGGCTTACCACCATTAAGCCAATGACCAGGTCACACACACTGCAGAAGTTCCTTGGCGTTTGAGGAATATTTGAGGGATATGACTTCCTCTGAATCATGGCAATCCTGTGGGTACAGCATAGAACTGCTACAGAGGCTATGAAAGGACTGTCTTCTATGGTACCTCTGGGTAGGTTCAAACTCCCAAATTTGGGATTAGTCACTTAACTGTGCCACCAAGGGATTTCTCTTGCACTATAAGACTACTTTAAAAAAGAATTTAAGAAACTCTTCTATGATTAAAAAAATTTTTTTTTGGTGGTCTTTTAAATGTCACAGTTACATCTTATGTCCTGTCTATCTAGTAAAGAGGATTCATTTTGTTGCTGTGACGTATGTTTTATTTAGTTTCTCTAAAATTCGACTGAACCGGTGCCACAGTTGTTTGAGGTATAAGATTTCTTCCAGGCATCTAGTTTCTTTGACTTCTCTTTTCATTCTCTGGTCATTATTTATCTGTGAGGTAAGAGAATAAATAGTCAAAACTAACTTTCACTATCTTTGACAGCCACATGTTCTCTATGCAAAATCATCTTTTAATGCTTCCTCGAATCACCCACAGGTATCGTCTCCTGAGGAGTGTCCACCTGTATTTCCATTCACTTTTGCTTCATGGCCAAATATCACTTCCTTCTGAAAGTTTCTCCCAGTTGCTCAGAACTTACTTACGGAAGTTCTTCCAGAGCTTAAGAGTGTGTGTCATTTGTCTTGGCACTCACTAATGTGCTATTTTTATTATTGCATCATAGATATTACCCATACCACTAAGCTCATAAGAAATACTATTTATTGAATGACTGACTGAATTAATGAAATTAATGATTTCCTAATCTCCTTGACAAGGTAATTAGCTCCTTAAGGGCAGAATCTGTCTTATGCCTCTAATAAACACCACTGAGTAAATCCACTCATTACTTTATTTGGATTCAACGTGCATTACACACCCCCCCCCCATAAGTGTCATGTTGTTCTTAGGTGCCATCAAGTTGACTCTGACTTATAGTCTTTCTATGAACAGCATGTCTGAACCTTTCCCTATTCTGCACCATCCTACCAACTCTGATATGCTCGATTGTTAGAGTCACTGTGACAATTCATCTTGTTCGGGGTTTTCCTCTCATTCTCTGTCCCTCCTCCACCTTTTTCAGTATGACATGTATTTTCCTGAGATTGGCACCCCCTAACAACATGTCTGATGTATGTGGTGCAACATGTTATACATATCATATGCTCCCTAAAGTCTTATTCTGAAGAGGACTAACACACACACACATACACACAACCTCAAACAAAAAAGAAACAAAACCCAAAACCAAATCCCAAACTCCCGTAATCTTTTTATGAGTCATTCACTTGAATTATTCTTAGTGACAGTCTCCCTAACATACACAGTATTCAGACTAATACATGTAGTCCACCAGATTACTAACCAAGTATTTATAGTTTAAAATGTGCCAACTCGTAACTATGTATTATTATTGCTGAACTCTCCTTTGGTCTTGAAGAGGGGTCAGGATAAATTACTCTAGACTTTCTCACAAGCTATCCAGGAACTAGCCCATTCTCACTGCTCTTCTTACGTGGCCATTTATAGATCTGCTGAAGTTTCCTTGATCAGGAGACATACATTCAAACAGATTTCCCACTTGGTTGCTTCATGCTAAGTTTCCAACTCAGAAATTTCTCAGCCCAGATGGCCCTATGACCTCAGTTCTCAGTCCCTTAAATGTGCTAGGTTTAGCTTCTCAGACGCAGAGCCATCAGAATGATAGGTCCACCATACACAGCAGATGTATATTATCTTTACTTGTCTCACTTCACTTTCCTAAATTTCTTATCATAAAGATAAATTCTTTGCTTCACCTGTCTGCTAAAGCCAATATTTACAGAGAATTTACTAAATACAAGGTATTGTTCGAAATGTTTTTATCTATATTATTTTCTCCTCATAAACACTCCATATGGTACATACTAACATGATAACATGATCTTTATTGTACTAGTTCAATTTAGGCACAGCTAATTTAAACAATCCATTCAAATGTTCACAGTTGGAATTTAAAAGTCAGGCAGCTCACCTCCAGAAAGACTTCCCCAACCTCTCCTCTTGTTGTTGTTATGTACTAAAGAGTTGGAATAAATCCATAACTGACCCTCCAGTGGGTTTTTAGAGGCACTAAATCACACAGGAGGAGAATGCTCATCTTTTCCCCATGGAGCAACCGGTGGATCTGAACTGTGTACCTTCAAATTGGTAGCACAGAGCTCCTTGTCACCAAGGCACCAGAACTTAAAGTTCCACACTCATTCAAATGCATTTTAATTAATCTACAAAATTCTATGATGTAAAGGACAGTAATACCACCCAAGAAGGCAACTAAGCAAACATAGGGTAAAAAATGCATAATTTAATATTTTAAGAAGAAACACATAAACATTAAGTGGTACACTAATGTTGCTTAAATGGATAAAAATATTTTAAATCAGATTATTTCTAGGGACTATAATTTTGAAGCATATTGTGTCCCTGGAAATCTGCATTTTGAACACTTGTTCTCCAAAGTTCTGACAGTCAGCATATTTCTGATTCAGGGGGCTCACTAATTGTACTTTGAAACACTGTCCTCAGTATAGAATCATAACTTAGCCCAAACAAAATGAGATCCTAGAAACAGAATGGTTTTTGTCCAAGTGTCAGTCTGGAATAAATGGAATAAATTGACAGTGTTTGTGTATATCTATCTATCTATCTTATAGATATCTGTATCCATATATCTCTATCTCTATATCCATCTATATCTATCATCTCACATTTCATTTACTCTTCTTCAAAAGCTAAAACCTTAACTAAGAATCACAAAACAACTTCTGTATGAAGCTTCAGTTTAACTTTGTTTTTCTTATATACCCTCGGGTGGGACCTATTCATAGTTGACCCTCCACTGGGTTTTCAGGGGCAGTAAATCATGAGAAGAGATTGCCAATTTTTCTCCCATGGAGCAGCTCACCAATTTGAACTATGTTCCTTTGGGTTGGCAATGCAACTCCTCACCACTAAGCCACTAATTAGTTCCATAATTTAGCCATTAGTTCCATAATTTACAGTTGTTATGTGCCATCGAGTTGCCTGCCACTCCTAGCGGCTCTATGCACAGCACCTCTGAAGCTTGCCCAGTCTCACTGATTCTGACACACCTATCCCCATTGCCTCAGTTACTAGCTCTACGATATTAAAAGGAGCTCGATGCCATACGGCAGTTAGGTGTTGTGCTAAGGGTCAGTGGTTCAAATCTGCCAGCAATCTGCTCTCATAAAGATTTACAGCCTTGGAAACCCCTGATGGAGTCTTTCTATAAATCGGACCATAATGGGTTAAGGTATTAGAGAGAGAGACAGGTAGGCGATGGGCTTACCTGGTTTACAGAGAAGTCGGGGCACCGCAGCGATAGGGAAGCATTAGTTGCACGCGCGAACGTTTCCTCGGCTAGGGACTGGCAGCCAGGTTTGGGATTGAAGGTGCGATTCACTATCTCAGCGAGGCACTCCCACCTCTGACAGGTAAGAAAAAGGAGGGGGAAGACAGAAAAGAAAAGGAGGGAGGGGTTGAAACGAAAAGAGAGTGGGCACAACAAAGGAAGGGAAGGAGAGGTGGTAGACAAAAATCCAGATGCAAAAAAAAAAAAAAGAAGAAGAAAGGGAGAGTTCAAAGAGATCAACAGCAAAAGCAAGAAGCGGAAAGCAGAGGCGTTGTGAGCGAAACCAAGGACGCAGTTAGAAAGAGGCGGGAAGAAAAGGCCGAAACATTGATTTATAGTGAGAGGCGGAGCCCCAACGCTGCTCTACCCACAGCTTTCCAGGCCCAGTTACAACCCAGAGGTGTCACCCCTGACGTAGTCCCCTAGATCGCTATTTGTCCTTTCTGGGGGAAGCCTCTTTCCGGAATCTCGCTCTATATTTATTCCCAAATTTGAACAGAAGTGGCTACAGAAGCTGAGTCCAGCCCTGGACTTTGCTTGGAACCCCGAGGGCAACCCGGTCCGTTCCCAGCCCTGGAGCCCCGCCACCTGCAAGAGGTCCGCACGCGCGGGGATGCGCCCCTTTCCCTACTGCCTGCGTCTGTCCGGAGAAGCCAGCAGCACTGATGATCTTTACTCACCTGGTTTTTACAGAACTTATGGTGGATGGGCTTGGTACTTTTGGCCTAGATGGAAAAGAGCAGGAGAAGTATAATAATTAATGACCAGGAGGATAAAGACTTTAAATTTGGCAGGAGAATCATTCCCAGTTGCTCCCAGATTTAGAGATGCTTCTCATAGTAGCTTCTGAGTAGGCACTTGTTTTCTGTGCACCTGGTTTTTGTCACTGACAAGCCAGTGACGTGTTTGGAGCCTTCAGAAGTATGGCTAGTGTTTTAACTGGACATCAAAAGGTCCTGGGTTCAGATAGAGACTCTACCCCCAAGCCTACCTGCCTGCATTCAAGGCTATTCATGTGAGCAGACAATACCATTCTCTGGATGCCCACATGCTCACTGTAGCTAGCCATGCATTTCACATACGCATACTCTATCCGATAGACTTCAGCACAGTTAGGAAACCGCTAACTACTGAATATTGAAGGAGAGAGAAAAAAAAAATAGTGCATTCTTCTTCATTACAGCATGCTGAAATATCTAGAACATTAGAAAAGATCTGAAATACCTACTTTTTGGCACTTAGCTTCCAAAAATTTTCCTTCGTTCTTAGTCTTCTATTTTATCTTTAACTGCACACTCAGACACATCAGTTTACAAAAGCTTGAATATCTTTGATGTTTTCATGCGTAACCATCAATATCTGTTCCTCATCAGCTTCTGCACACTTTAGATGATACCAATTTATAGAAAGCAATTTTAGAAGCAATACTTCTTTGATATTGCTTGTAAAGTCTTGGGGGGAAAAATCCCAGGTCATGTTTATTTTCCCCAAATCCTTTTTAAAGTGAAATTATGATGTTTTTGTGAGCATGTTTTGTGTTCTTGCCTACTCTTTCAATGATGATAAATTTGCTTTTAAATATTTTGTACTTACCTGAGCCGTGTACTTCTCCAGCTCTGGATAGATGACATTATCATATTCCTGTGTGAAGTTTTTAAAGTCACATCTACTGAAGTCGTAGGTTAGCACCAGCTTTACCAGTTGCAAGATGACGATCTTCCTGAAGAAACCTGATGGAACAAGTGATAAGGTGTCAGCCAAAGTACTGGGAAACCCAATTCCACCCCAGTTCACACTAACTTCTCTCCAGTAAGACTGAATTGTCTATAAATTTGGGAGGCCTGCCTAAGGGGGCAACTACCCAAGTAACATTTGTGGCCTCTAATTCCTTATCTAGAGGAGGCCCATATTCACCCATGCTGTTGCCTTAAGTTGGAGTCTCACTGATGCTCCAGAGCTTTCTTGCACCACATATATAATACTTAGACGCCTACGGGCTCTTTTCTCCTAGACCAATGATATTCTTCGATGTCATTCTCTTCCTTTATAGAATTTTGAATTAATGACTTAAAAGAAATAAGTAAGGCCAGCCAGATCTATGGAATTTTGACATTAGTAAAATCATCTGGAATTTCCCTTACTGTCCTTCTTTTACCTTTGCTCTAAGCAAAACTCACTATTGTGGAGTCAATTAGGATTCATAGTAACCCTACAGCAACCCTTTAAGAGAGAAGAATTGTCATATTGAGTTTCCAAGGCCATTGATATTTATGGAAGTAGACTGCCACCCAAGAAGTGGCTGCTGGGCTTGAACTGCCAACCTTTAAGTTAACAGCCAAGGCTCCTTTAATCTTTGCATTCAACTCTTAATTTAACCCTTTCATTAATCATAATGTTGTTGTTGTATACCCTGAAGTTGGAAACTATCCATAGCTGACCTTCCAGTGGGTTTTTTTAAATTTTTTTTATTTTTAAAATTTTATTAATTTATGTGTGTGTACCGTCAAATCGGATCTGACTGGTACAGGAGGAGATTGCCCCTCCTCCAGCAGAGCATCTGGTGGACTCTAACAGCGAATCTCTGGGATTGCAGTGCAGCTTCTTGCCACTAGGCCACCAGAGCTCCCTTCCAGTGGGTTTTTAGAAGCAGTTAATTACTTGGGAGGAGACTGTCTATTCTATCTTGGAGCAGCTAGGTGATTCGAACCTTGGGCCTTTGGGATTGCAGTGCATCTTCTTACCACTAGGCCATTAGAGTTCCTCCCACCTGTAATATCCTCCTCTGAGATTTACAGTAAGGAAACTTGTATCCCACTTTCAGCGCATGCTGACATCTGGTGGGGGCCTATAGAACTGTGAGAATAAGGGCCTTATCCCACCCAAATCCAGAGGTCTCTTGCCTCCTACGCATCCTACTTACTGTCTCAGAATTCATATTTACACAAAAATGTTAAAATATCACTCAACATGCATTCATTTATTGAAAAGATATATTTTCTACAGGAAGTTCAAAGTGAAAAATAATTCAGTCTTGAAAAGATTAAGAAAAGGACAGCTTCACATTCTCAAAATGTGTCTTTGTCCTATAGGACAATTTTCATAAAGGACATCTTCTGAGAAAGGAAACATTTTGTTTGGGAAAAGAAACTTTTTGGAAACCAACAGCCTCTCTGAGGATTTAAAGCTATTATCTGTGTGGCCTGCACACCTTGGAGGACTTTCCTCAGCCATCTTCAACCAGAAGCTTGGCTTCTTTCCTCTCTTCTGAGAATTTTATGTGCTTATTTGCCAGGGCTATTTAGTAGGGTAAATGTAGGTTTCGACTTGGACAGTGCTTCTAATAAGAAACCATCACATATAAAACAGTTATCAGAACATTAGCTGCAGGAAAGATAAGAAGTTGAAATGAAGAAAGGTCTGAGGGATGTCACCTTCAATCAACAACTCTCCAAACAGTTCTTTATTTCTGGAAAGAAGTGCATACTCTTCAGTGTTGGAGGCAATTTAGGAGCTGCCTTGTATCTGTGTGTTAAGAACTTCCTGTTTGTGTCAAGATTTTGTAAAAGCACGAAGATCTGCTGCGCCTATTGTCCTTCACAACCACCTTCTTGAGTTCAGCAATTAGTGTGCACATGCGAGATTCCAGAAGTGCTGCTTCTCAGAAACTTGAGCAAAGCCCCCAGGGAAGCGCGAACAAGATGCTGTCCAAAGTACAGTTGGCCCTGAGGCGGCACATGGTGCTGCATTCACTGCCCCTTAGACACACAGCGCAGCAGGGAGCTTTCTGGTCACCTCTGACTTTGGAGTGGTACTGGTTTTAGGAGAAGTGGTAGCTAACTTGCAAACTCCCTTCTTCTTTCATTCATTTCTTTTTAAAACTTACCTCTTTTTAATAACAGTTCTCATTATGGTTATATACATTTTGTTTACTCTTTCATCTAATGTTTATTGATACTTCTTTGTTCTGGTTAACCTTTTCTTTCTTCCTTCTCCCCCTCCTCATACCCTTCTATCCCCTCTCCTTTCCCTTCCCTTCCCTTCCCTTCCC